GCTTTTTTTTTGCCCGCCTTTGGGCCGGGGGCCGGCGTTCGGCCACGCCTCCCTGTTTTTTCCTTGGTCCTCCTCCTTCTTTTGGGATCGTTTTTAATGGTCGTTCCCGGAAGGAACGTGCCTCCCTTACTGTGGGAGGCCCTTCTTTCCAACCTTCACCCGGGAGCTCCTTTTTGGTCTCCCAGTGGATGTGCTGTCCCACCCACCGCCCAGGTACCCAGGACTCGTCGAGCTCCTTGAGAGCAAAGACGGTCGCGGAGAGATGCTCCTCGAGCTTCTTCAATTTCTGCGCGCCGCCCTTCGCTTGGCCCTTGTCCGTCATGGCGCACACTTGAGCCTTGCCGAATGATAGCTCCTCTTTGAGCCGGGAGATCTCGGCCTGCTTCTCTTCTTCCGTCCCTTCGAACGTCATTGCCGCCGCTGATTAGAAGAAGCTCTGGAGCTCTCGGCGAGTCCACGACGGCTTTGACCTTCGGTTTTCTTCTTTCCCCGTAGTCCGAGCCGGACTTTTGTTCGCCTTCGTGTGTGTGTGTGTGTGTGTGTGTGTGTGTGTGTGTGTGTGTGTGTGTGTGTGTGTGTGTGTGTGTGTGTGTGTGTGTGTGTGTGTGTGTGTGTGTGTGTGGAGGCAACCGATGCGAGTCGACTGGTGTGTGTCGTCGTGGTTTCGTATCATCAAGAATACTCACTCATTCCTGTTATCTATTTTGTGGGTAAGCTAGCACTCGTGACTCCTCGAGCGCGGCGGAGGCGGCCACGGCGCCGACTCCATCGTGACCCCGCACAGCTCCCGCATGGGGCGAAGCGGGGACGCGGGCGGCGACGGCGAGCCACACACGGACGCGGCCGGCCGCCGGTCCGCGATGCGTTGCTCCGCCGCCAGTCGGGCGTGCCTCTCCCCCTCTGCCGCGCTCAGCGCCGCCTCGCACCTCCTCTCCGCCTCGTGGCGCCGCGCCTCGGCGACGGCCCGCAGCGACTCGGACTGGCGGTAAGAGCTCAACAGCGCCTCGTACGCTGCGCGCAGCTCACGCTCCTCGCATCGCTGCCGCTGGAGCGCCTCCAACGCCGCAGCGCTGCTCAGGCGTTGCGAGGCGAGGTGCTCCTCGAGCAGCTGCCGAGCCGACACGGCGGCGGCGCGCTCTTCGCGGAGCGCGTGCGCCTCTCGCTGCAGCTCGTCGGTGGAGTCGCGCCTGAGCAGCGACTCGGGGCCGTCGCCGCCCGCGCCGTCCGCAGTGACCTTCGCCGGCGCCACCCGCTGGGCGGCGCAAGCGCGCTGGATGAGATCGTCGAGCCGCGCGCAGAGCCTGTCCACTTGGCCCTCGACCAACGCCTAGTCACACAAGGGGGCTAGAGGTGTGAAGAGACGCGTCCACAGCTTGAGCCCCACATGGCCCGCGCTATAGCGCCTGCCCCTCCCCCATCGCTTCACACCAAGACGGCTCGGCGCTCGGGCTCTGAGTGGGCCGCAAGAAGCTGGTCGTGCTGGGCAGGCAGTCGGCTTGCGCCGCGCTACTGGTCGCCGCCTCGCTGCAAGTGGCCGGACTGACAGCGCCACTGTCGGTGTCAGCCCTCAGCTCGAGCTTGCGGATGTGGGACGCGATCGCCAGGAGCAGGGTTGCGTCAACTGGAGCCTCCTCGCGATTGCACTGCCCGAAGTCGCCGCTGTCGCCGGTGCCCACCAGAGGAGCCAGGCTCGCCACCACCCGCTCCAATAGGCGCCGCATGGGTGCGAGGGCGCCGCTGGCGCCGGCAGCGTCGCCCTCGCTGTCCCGCTCAGCGTGTCCGAGGGGAGGCAGCGCGTCAAGCACCGCCTTTGCTGCAGCGTACGGAAACGCCACCAGCCTCTGCGCCACCTCCCACTGCGCTTGCATTGCGCAGAATGCACTCTCGAGCACGTCGACGCGGCTGCCTGCAGCAGCCGCGGCGGCCGCGGCCGAACAAGCATGCTCTGCGGCCATTTCTGCGCGTCGCTCTGCCTCGGTCTGACTCGCGGCCTGGCTAGCTTGCTTCATGCAGAATCTGGCAGCACACGAGAAAGGGTCTGTATACTGGCTGGGAGGAGCGCGGGGCGGCCGTTATCTCTGCTACGCTTCTGTACCTGTGTTAGTGCCAGTGCGCGCCAGTCCCGTGCCCAGTGCTGTGCGAGGGAGTTTTGTTGTAAGATTCTGTTCACAAACGTTCGGCCTAGCACATGCGCTCACTATGACTATGTACTAGCATGTGCACTCACTCAATGAACGCGACATCGAGCTGCGAGTCC